AAAGTGCTACTTCTATAGAAGCAACCTAAATGCACATCGCAAGAGTCATACTGTGGAGAAGCCATATAAATGCTTGGAGTGTGGAAAGTGCTTCTCCATGGATAGCAGCCTAACTGCACATAGAAAGATTCATACTGGGCAGAAACCGTATAAATGCTTGGAGTGTGGAAAGTGCTTCTCTCAGAATGTTGACCTAACGAAACATCAAAGGGTTCACACAGGGGAGAAACCATATAAATGCTTCAAATGTGGAAGGTGCTTCTCTCAGAATGGTGACCTAACTAAACATCAAAGGATGCACACAGGGGAGAAACCATATAAATGCTTCAAATGTGGAAGGTGCTTCTCTCAGAATGGTGACCTAACTAAACATCAAAGGATGCACACAGGGGAGAAACCATATAAATGCTTCAAATGTGGAAGGTGCTTCTCTCAGAATGGTGACCTAACTAAACATCAAAGGATGCACACAGGGGAGAAACCATATAAATGCTTCAAATGTGGAAGGTGCTTCTCTCAGAATGGTGACCTAACTAAACATCAAAGGATGCACACAGGGGAGAAACCATATAAATGCTTCAAATGTGGAAGGTGCTTCTCTCAGAATGGTGACCTAACTAAACATCAAAGGATGCACACAGGGGAGAAACCATATAAATGCTTCAAATGTGGAAGGTGCTTCTCTCAGAATGGTGACCTAACTAAACATCAAAGGATGCACACAGGGGAGAAACCATATAAATGCTTCAAATGTGGAAGGTGCTTCTCTCAGAATGGTGACCTAACTAAACATCAAAGGATGCACACAGGGGAGAAACCATATAAATGCTTCAAATGTGGAAGGTGCTTCTCTCGGAATGTTGACCTAACTAAACATCAAAGGGTTCACACAGGGGAGAAACCATATAAATGCTTGGAGTGTGGAAAGTGCTTCTCTAGCAATAGCCACCTAAGGAAACATCAAAGGATTCATACTGGAGAGAAGCCATATAAATGCTTGGAGTGTGGAAAGTGCTTCTCTAGCAATAGCCACCTAAGGAAACATCAAAGGATTCACACAGGGGAGAAACCATATAAATGCTTCAAATGTGGAAGGTGCTTCTCTCGGAATGTTGACCTAACTAAACATCAAAGGATGCACACAGGGGAGAAACCATATAAATGCTTCAAATGTGGAAGGTGCTTCTCTCGGAATGTTGACCTAACTAAACATCAAAGGATGCACACAGGGGAGAAACCATATAAATGCTTCAAATGTGGAAGGTGCTTCTCTCGGAATGTTGACCTAACTAAACATCAAAGGATGCACACAGGGGAGAAACCATATAAATGCTTCAAATGTGGAAGGTGCTTCTCTCGGAATGTTGACCTAACTAAACATCAAAGGATGCACACAGGGGAGAAACCATATAAATGCTTCAAATGTGGAAGGTGCTTCTCTCGGAATGTTGACCTAACTAAACATCAAAGGGTTCACACAGGGGAGAAGCCATACAAATGCTTGGCGTGTGGAAAGTGCTTCTCCCACAGTTGCAGCCTAACTTCACATCAAAATGTTCACATAGGAAAGAAGCCATATAAATGCCTGGAGTGTGGAAAGTGCTTCTCTCAGGGTTGCCACCTAAGGACACATCAAAAGGTTCATACTGGTGAGAAACCATATAAATGCTTCGAGTGTGGAAGATGCTTCTCTGACAATGTCCAGTTAAGGGCACACCAAAGGGGTCATACCGGGGAGAAGCCATCTCACAGACTTGAAAGGATTCATACTGGGGAGAAGCCATATCACTGCTTGGAGTGTGGAAAGTGCTTCTCTCGGAATGACTCCCTAAAATTACATCAAAGGATTCATACTGGGTAGAAGTCATATAAGATGCCTTAAGTGTGGAAAGTGCTTTTCTCAAAGTAGCGCCCTAACTACACATCAGAAGGTTCACACAGGGCAGTAGCTGTACAAATGTATGGAGCATTGAAAGGGGTTTACTCAGAATGGCACATTGAAGGATTCGCATGGGGGAGACTTCTGGGGGAAATGGTGACTTGAAGGGAGCACTTTACAAAGGCTCCAGACATATCTCCCCCTTGGACTTCCCATATCAGGAAAGGAGAGAATATATTCCTTCATCCTTACCACTCCCCCGTGGGGGAGACCCAACTGACAGGTGAACCCATCTCCACCAGGTTCTCATTCCAGCAAAAGCAGCAGAGAAAAAGTTGTAGCTGTTTGGTATTCTGTTATAAATTTTATGTTGAAAAATGACATTATTCCTGATAATCCACAGTATTAAAAAATGGTTTACTTTTTATTTGTATTGTTAAAACAAAACCAGTTTGGTGTATTTTGTTAGTTTAATGTTGAAAATGTGTAATTTCTGAAAAATCGTTAATAATAATAATTAAAAAAGCAGCAGAGAAAAGTTGGGATTCCGGAGCTGAAGCTTACCCTAACTTTTGTTATCTCCTCTCTTTTTTTTCGACCAAACTGTAATATATGTAATTTCTGCCTTTTTCTTTACATTTTACTGGATTACAACCCTAACCCAGAAGATTACCAGACTGCCAGTGGTAAGAGGAGACGTCTTGAAAACTTATGGCTTTTAAATTACAGATATTTAATTAAAGATTTATGCAAACCGTGTAGATTTTTAAGTGCCAGCAGCCTGGTTCCATCTCAGGAAAGTGGAGGCCATCTCTTTTGTACAGGTCCTGCTCGTTCCAAAAAGCATCCCACTGTCTAACAAACTTAAAATGTTCTTCCCAACACCGTTGTCTCATATTCCTCAATTTTTAAAAGTGTTTTCAACTGGACGGCTTCATAATAACTTACTATGTCTGGTACACCCCACCCTAGTTCTGAATTATGACTATAATATTTTTTTTGAGATTCTGGTCTTTATACTACCAAATATCCATTCCCTTATTGTTGCATTCCATTTCTCCAGTTTTTGTTTGATAATAAATATGTTAATTTAGGTACCCAGAACATTTTTACACTCCTAATTCTGGATGTTATATTGAAGGACTCTCTTTTCCATCTTTTCCTATCTCTCGTTATTTTTCTCCAAACGTTATTATAGTTTTTCTCTACAATCTTAGTGATATTCTGATATATTTCTACTCCTAATCTAAATTTCTTGACTCCCAATCCTATTTTGGTTAATATGTTAATTTCTTTCCTTTCCTCTCGATTCACATTGTGGTATAATACTTCTGATTTCATCATATCAGTTTTTAAACCTGACATTGTTTCAAAATCCTCTAGTATCACCTTTGTCTCTTTAATTCCTTCCTTTGGGTTGGACATTGTTATTATTATATCATTTGCAAACAGTTTAATTTTCATCTCTTCTCTGCCTACTTTACAACCTTCTATCCTTCCTGAAGTTCTAATTCTTTCTGTGAATTGTTCAGTCGCCATTATGAACAAAATGGGTGAAAGTGGGCATCCTTGTCTTACTCCCCTTGTAATTGGAAATTGTGCAATATGTTCACCATTCATTCGAACTACCGCTGAGCCTTCTCTATATATTTCCTGTATGGTTTTTATAAATCCCTGGCCAATGCCATATTTCGACATTATATTCCACAAGAATTCATGAGGTAATGTATCAAATGCTTTGTATACATCTAGTTTAAGCAAACCTCTTTTCCCCAATTGGCAGTGACTTAATACATTTAATATGTTTCTAATCGGGTGAGTTATACTTCTGTTTTTAACAAAACCATACTGATCATCTTTTATTACTTTGGGAGTGATATTTTTGAGTCCATTTGCCATTATTTTAGCAAAGATTTTATAATCTTGATTAAATAGGCTTATTGGCCTATAGGAACCCACTTCCTGAGGGTCCCTCTGTGGTTTTAATAATATTGTTATTTCTGCTTTCCTCCCAGTGTTAGGTGCATTTCCTCCCTTTAGTATAGTATTAAAGACTGTACATAGTTCCGGTACTAGAATTTCTCTCATTTCCCTATAGAATTCCGCTGTAAATCTGTCCATACCCAGTGATTTACCTGTCTTTAAACCTTTTATTACTGGTTCTATTTCTTGCATTGTTATTTCCCCTTCAAGACTTTCCTTTTCTGTTTCTGTAAGTTTAGTTTCTATTAATTCCTCAAATTCCACAGTATTCTTTTTTTTGTATAGGGTCTTATAGAAATCCATAAAGGCTTCCTTATTCTCTTCTGGATTCTGTGTTATAACCCTGTTTACTCTAATGGTTCTCCCTCTTTACTTATTTCTTTTACTCTTTAAATAGTTTGCTAATCATTTAACTGAATTTATTGAATTTCTCTGGAATTCATCTCTTATAACTTGTTTTTTCATAGTGCCCTAGAGTCTAATGAGTTTAATTATTTCTTCAATTATGTACGTAATTAATCTGTTTCTATTATGACAAAATTTCTGTAATTCCTGTTTTTGTAAGTTCTCAGGTTCTTACGGAGTGCCATCTTTTTTTTTTAAATTCTTTCTCTTTCATTATACACTGTCCCCTGATTACAGCTTTGGCTGCATCCCAAAGCATATCTGTAGTTACTGCTCCTCTGTTCTCCTGAAAGTATAGTTTTATCTGGTTTTCCATATATTGTTTATCCTTTCCTTTAGACATGATCATATTATTGTATCTCCATGTTTCTTTTTACTTTGTCCCAGTTGACATCTATTTCTATGCTAATGGGGGCATGGTCTGAAATCCATGTTGGGTGTGTAACTATATTTTTTGGCTCCCATTTACCAAATTCTTTAAGTATTGTAAAGTTTAAATGTGAAGCTGTTTTATGCCCTACACCGTCGTGTCATCCACGTGTTGGGACTGCTCATTTGTGCCTGTTTAGTTGTCCCTGCATGTGGAACAGGCAACCCTTCTGAGAAGGCTCCCTTGGAGGTCCTGGCCTTGAGTCTCCTGCTCAGCAACCTAGATTTTTCCTCCAGGAGCACAAGGCTACGTTGCTCCACATTGTTGGTGCCAACATGCATCACAACCACTGGCTCCTCCTTCGCACTGTCTACCAGCCTAGATCATGCAGAATGCCCACTACTTTCACACCAGGCTGGCAATTTACTCTGCAGTCAGTATGTGGGTCCACCACCCATCTGTCTACATGTCTTAAGGACTGAATCAAGCAGAAACCAAGGGGGAAAAACACTGAACCTAACAATAAACTCCAAAACCAAACAAAGGTTAGTGAAAAAGAGGGCCAATATTAAAACCTTTCCATAAAAAATAAAAAGAGGTACATGTATTTATTAATAATAACAATTTTTAAAACATATATAGAGGCCCATTTGCAACCAATATATATAAAATATAACAATATCCAGGGCTTACAAAGTTGACCTTACGCGTTTCGGCCAAATAGGCCTTCTTCAGAGGTCATACATAAGTGGCGAGATAATTATATTTACATAAACACAATAATATATACAAAGTATAGAGTCAATGAGGACCATAAAGCAGATTGTTCAAAAGTAAAATCACACAGGCACAAGGTAAATATGCACATAAGGCCTTTAAAGTGCAATCACTAGCCCACAAATTTATAATCACTGGGCTAGTGATTGCACTTTAAAGGCCTTATGTGCATATTTACCTTGTGCCTGGTGATTTTACTTTTGAAATTTATAATCACTGGCCCTCCTTTTCACTAACCTTTGTTTGGTTTAAGGATTGAATCACCAACTACCAAGCGCTCAAGGATGGTTCCTTGATGCGAAAGGATACCTGTTCACCAACTACAGAAGGGGTCCCTTCTTTTTCTTTTAAGTACCCATAGTTACACTTTTATTATTTTTCATATTATACACATACATACATACATACAACATATAAACAAACAACCACTTAACATACGTAAGACATACAAAGAGATCAGTATATTTTCTTATTACTCTATTACCATATTTAAAGATTTTATTAAAACACTTTCTATAGGTTTGCTTAAGTTTCTGTATACTCTTATTTTTTTACCATAGTTTCTATTTAACGACAAGAGACGAATAATACCAAAAATGTCATTACTTTAAATGATGCATTTATATTATACCAGTCATACAGTTTTTTCCAAGTTTTTTGAAATGTTGGGTCTGTTGTCCCTCTCATCAACGATGGCAGTTTGTCATTTTCAGCCGTCTCCAACAGTTTATTCACATATTCTTGCTTCTTTGGTGCTTCCATTTGTTTCCAATATTTTGCATATAATATTCTTGCTTCTGAGGGGACATTCCCCCTTTCATTAGGACAGTGCCCTGTTCCCCCTGGACCTCGTGCGATGTGAGGTCCATGCCGGGGGATGAACAGACAATGGTAACCTTCCAGCTTTAAAGAGGCAACATATATTCTTTAAACCTAGCGTGTTGTCTCACTTCTTGGGAAATAGGAGCGTTTGTTGGCCAATCTGCTCTCTGGATACACGGGAAAAGAACTCACACCACGCCCACTGTCGTACATAATTCTGAGTTGGGCTCCCGGGACCGTCCTTAGAGGATGTCTGGTATCACTGTGCACGTCAAAATGTTTAGAACTGACACAGTCTTGTTACACCTGGAACTTGCCATACATTCAATAAAGCTGCTTACTGCCAAGGAAAGTGTGAATTGAGAGTTGCTTGCCCAGGGACCTGACGATTGTTTCCAATGGAGGAACGAAATGTCTTGTGAGCAGAAGCTCACAACCCCTCAGCTGTCTGTTAAAATTTTGTGCACCAGTACCTCCTAGCGCAGCTTAGAGGGAACTGTGGATGAGTCCTAGGACACATATCAGTACTGCCTCCTTATCCTTGCTTTTACCCAAAGAGTGATGAACGCATGGAATTCACTGCCAGAGGAAGTGGTGGCGGTTACAAGCATGGATAGCTTCAAAAGGGAATTAGATAAGCATCTGGAGCAGAGGTCCATCAGTGGCTATTAGCCACAACATATAGATCGGGACTCTGGGGCAGGTGATGCTCTGTCTTCTTGGTGCTTGGGGAGGTCAACAGTGGGAGGGCTTCTAATGTCCTGGCCCCACTGGTGGACCTCCTGATGGCAACTGGTATTTTTGGCCACTGTATGACAGAGTGTTGGACTGGATGGCCTTTGGCCTGATCCAACATTGGCGTCTATTATGTTCTTAGTAAAGTTCTAAATATGGAGCTGTGGTGGCTCAAGTGGTTAAGACGCTGAACTGCAGGCTGTGGAAGGTCAGTAGTTCAGTGGTTCAAGACCCGGGTGCCGCAAGACAGGGTGAGCTCCTGTCTCTAGTTCCAGCTCCTGCCAACCTAGCAGTTCGAAAGCAAGAAATTGCAAGTAGATAAATAGGGACCACTTCGGTGGGAAGGTAACAGCGTTCCGTGCGCCTTGGTGTTTAGTCATGCCGGCCACATGACCACGGAAACGTCTTCGGACAGCGCTGGCTCTTCGGCTTTGTAACGGAGATGAGCACCGCAACCCTAGAGTCGGATTCGACTGGCTTTCGAGCAAGGGAACCTTTACCTTTACCTTTTAAAGTTCTAAATGCTAACTAAGAACAGTTCCAGTTTGGTGTAATCTGGAAAAACCGGGTTTGATTCCCCACTACTCCATTAGCAGCTGCTGGTGTGACCCTAGGTCAGTCACAAGTTGTTTCAGAGCAGTTCTCAAAAGAGCTCTCTTAGCCCCACCTACCTCACAGAACGCATGTTGTGGGGAAGGGATGGGAAAGGAGTTTGTAAGCCGCTCTGAGACTCCTTTGGGTAGTGAAGGCTGAGGTATAAATCCAATCTCTCCCTCTTCTTCTTCCATTTAATAAAGTGATAAATTAGTGAAAAGATAGCCCATTTAAAAAACTACCTTGTTAAGAATGGCTCTCTCTTGTCATTACCCTCTCTCATAGAAATTAAACTTTACATAGGTTATGAAAACAGTTTCAGTTGGGTAGCTTTATTGGCCTGTGGTAAAATAAAAGTCTGGAGGAACCTTAAAGACGAACGAAATTTTCTCTCCTGGTGACTGAGGACAGGGAGCCCACAAGTGGTCTGTCCCTCCACAGCCATAAAAGGTAAAGGTCTCCCTTGCTCGAAAGTTAGTTGAATCTGACTCTAGGGGGCAGTGCTCATCTCCATCTCCAAGCCGAAGAGCCAGCACTGTCCGAAGACATTTCTGTGGTCATGTGGCCGGCATGACTAGATGCCGAGGTGCACGGAATGCTGTTACCTTCCCACCGAAGCGGTACCTGTTTATCCACTTGCAATTTCTTGCTTTCGAACTGCTAGGTTGGCAGGAGCTGGGGCCAGAGATGGGAGCTCACTCCGTCATGTGGCCACAGCTCTCCAGGGTCTCAGGCAGGTGTTTCCCATCCCCTCCTGCCTGGTCCTTTTAACTGGGGATGTCAGGGACTGAAACTGGGACCTTCTGCATGCCAAGGAGGGGCTCGTCCACAGCCACAGTCACTTCCCCAAAATTATCACACAGAAACACAC